TACAACTTCATACATCGGCAAATTAATACACTGCACAATTAACTGTAAAATTCTTGCTTTATTACTGGCACTATGTTATCCTACTACCGCTGATATTTTGATTACGAAGGTTTTCCTCTAAAATTTAATGCCTTTAGCTTATTTGTTTTGAAAAAAAAATCGTTTCACCATCCAAGCCAAAAAAGAAATAGCTCAGGAGTTTTCTGGTAGGTAAGGGGTTGTCAAATATGGGTAACGTGAAAATTGATGGGAATTACCCGAAACAGGAGCTACAACAATAAACATACATTTAAGGATGACCCTTGCATAGGTATACTTTTTTCATGCTTAGTTTATCTCACTGCTTTAAGGAACTGGTACCTTTCCGCAGCGAAAGCTGGGGGCCAAAGTTTAAACACATCGTATACTCTTATGTAAAGTCGGGATGGCACAACTCAGCTATAGTCTTTTACGAGCTCCCGACCCCGACTCATGCAAAACGGAGCCGTTCAGCAGCACCTCCATTGGGAGTAGGTGCTCCAGTGATAATACACTTCAGCTCAAGTCCCAACTGAACAAAACCCAGCTAGGGCAAAGGCTTCTAGGAAGTCCCAGCCCTTAACCCAACAAAGCGAGAGCAAAGGAAATGGCCAGGGCATTCTGGACGGGGGGTATGTATGTGTGCATTAGTGTGCTGCACTGTGCAGGTAGAATCCACCAGATATCTCAATTGTGAAACTCGCGTCTGAAGGCTTCACCTGGCCTGTCTCATGTGTGTAGCATGACTGATGACCAGAAGGGGCAGAAAAAAGAAAAAAAATCAACAACAGCACATGATATAGCACAGTTCAAGGGTGTAACCCACCATGCGGCCAGGTCTTCCGAAGTACTCCTTAAGGATGAAGGATGGTGGTGGTGGGCTATGCATCATCTGCATATAGTAAAAGAATTAGCTCTTCCCAATCCCAGGCGTCCCTGTAACTGCAACAAAACAAGGGAGCAGCCTTGGTCATCAAGTGAGTGGAGTGAATGATCAATAGCAGGACACAGGCATAGCTTTGTAGAAGGGCTCTGGTGCTTATGAAAACTGTCACTGCAATGCTTGTCCTAATTGAGTCTTAATTTTAATAGACCCACCTGCCAAAATGACAGGTTCCGAGCTGTAGTTATTATGGTCAAGCCGCCAAGGTGGCTATAATTTAAAAGTGTGAACATAACTATGGCAGCTTCAGCACCATATTTTACAGTCCTCACGGTTTTTGGGGCGCTCAAAGTCCACCCTCCGCGGTCCATCCCTTATTCATCCGCACCTCTACACCACCCAGAGTCCTCCACCATATCCCTAACCATGATATCCTAGCCTGAAGACGACTTTCTGGCAGTGCCAGCTCATGGGAAGTGTGAATTAGGGAGGCATCAGCTAAACATCACTTCAATGACTTCAGCATTTGTACACTCGAACCTGAGATTAATTCATATGATACTAGTATGTGGCTTCCAGGGATGAAATGGAAGACCAGGAACGAGCTGCATAAGGAAATACCGCGTACTCCATATCTGCAACTAGCCATCACCACACATTTCTGCAAGTGCATCATATGTGGCAACTTTGTCTTTCTTGGTGCCAGGCTTGTCATTATCAGCCATTATTATGCAAAGACTTCGAAATAGGGTAGGACACACAAGATGCTCTCCTCAAAGTGTAAAATATATAAGAATGCATGCACTTCGATACCCAATTATACCGTACTGCTATTGTACATTCCTGATATTCATTTCGGATGATGTCATGAAAGGCGTGTCAGTGGAAACTATCCCTATCTAAAAATAGGGGCTGTCCCGAATTGTCGTACTATGTACAAATGGCGCCCAAGTACTTAAAGTGCTTTCCATCTTTTTACGGTTGATTTTCATGCTTCATACTTATTATTACTTGCAAGGGATGACACACTGTTGGTAGTCGCCATGAAAAGACAACACCCTACTTCTAGGCCGCTCAAGCAGAACAAGTCTATTTTTGGACTACCTACTTTCGATCCCGAATTGTGATAACACAACTGCAAAATCTGCTCATGGCTGTCCCGAAATGGCAATGTCATGTAAAAACTCCAGCCCCATTTTCATGGCCATCCTGAATCGTAATATCAGGAATGTATAATAGCAGTACGGTATTTAGGTAAGAATGGCTCAGACAACAAAACCATAATTTACTTGCAATCGCCTCCATTTCCCAAAATACCATAATTACGATAAAAGATGCATCTTTTATATGCTTATATACTGTTTCCCTCCACCAAATTACACCGAATTCCCACAGCCCTTAAAAGATGCCCCCATCTGCTGGCACATATACATCTGAACCCACATGCATGAACATGCAATGGCACATACATGATGCTGCGGTCACCATGTGCATTGCGTCCATGCTGCACACACTGGCAGCCTGGCAGGTAAAAGCAGGGAAAGAGATGGGCTCACCAACATGCGTCATATATGGCTTTGAAAAGGTCTGGATAGCACTTGCGCACATACAGCTGACTGTTTGGACTGGCATATGCCGGTTACCGACCGTTTGGGGCCCATTAACCCAACCGGCCGGTTGAATGGCGTTAACGGCCCGGTTGGGTTAACGGTCGGTTGGGTTAACGGCCAGTTGGGTTAACGATCAGTTGGGTTAATGGTCGGATGGGTTAATGGGCCCCAAACGGTCGGTAACCGGCA